CCTTGAACTCACTATGTAGCCTAGGCTGGCCTCCAACTTGCAGAGATCCTCCTGCCTTGGCCTCCCAAGTGCTGGCACCACCATGCCTGCCTATGCCTGGCACATTTTAAATGGTATTTCATGAAGCCTTCTTTTAAATTCCTAAGGTGGTATAAAGATACTAGTAAGCATTTATGCACTTATTCTGAGGAAAAAGGGAAAGGAAAGAAGGAGGAAAGGAATAAAGAGGGTAGGAGGGAAAAGGGTCTCCCCAGTATAGTGACTGCCCTCCACGCACACACGCACACACACACACACACACACACACACACACAAATGTGCAGTTGTCGGGAGCAGTGGGAGAAATACTGTTCAGGAGTTCCTTATTTACTGCTAATGCATGCTATTACAGAATTATCTAAAATTATATATGGCAAAAGAAAACAACTGGGACTCATGTTTAATTGAAACTTCCAGGACTAACGACTATTAATATTTTTAGGTAGCCTTTTAGCATTTGGTTCTCTGAAGAGAACATTTGTATTCTTTAAAAACAAAACAACAACAAACAACAGAAGAGGCCAGGGTGGTGGCACACACTTGTAATCCCAGCATTTGGGAAGCAGAGGCAGGAGGATTTCTGCAAGTTCAAGGCCAACCTGGGCTACATAGCGATTCTTAATTTGAAAAGCATAGGGAGTCCTCTTTCTTGACTTGTGTTTTCTGTATGTAGGAGAACTATGCAGAGGGGCAACTCCTTGAAAATCACCAATTAGTTGTGGGAGAGAGCTGAAAAAGGTGAAGGCAGAAATCAAGATCTAATATGTTGTTGTCGTTCAAGACAGGAAACTGCTGAGTTTCACAACTGTGGGGGAATCTGTTTCACCTGCGACCACTCCCTGGCCAGGCTGGTGGTGGTCTACAAGTCTGGCTTTTGAGGGACCTCCTGCCTCTTCCTCTGCCTCCTTCAGGGCCGGTGGATTGGGATCAGACTTCCTGTCAGCGGGGCGCAGAGTGGAACTCTAGTTGGTAGGGGTGGTGTGGCTGTTTCCTAGTTCATTTAGAGACCGAACTGTTGAGACTAAAAGGCGGACGAATCGATTTGTACTATAAGCCCTGTTACTACCCGTGCCAATGGCTGCTGTAGCCCTGTCTGAGGGTTTCTCTGTTTATTCTGTTTCTGGCCGCCCCAGGCCTCCTTCTGCCTTGGTTCAGTGCCTGGGGACAGGCTTGGCAAAATGCCTCGTTAACACTCCTGGCTACTTGTTAGCAAAGCCAGCTTCTCCTGCGGGCCCCTTACCTCCCCGCTCCCCCGCTCCTCCCTGTCTTAGCCGCCCTCCCCCGTCTATCTTATCTCTGCACCTCTGTTTTGGGGACCAACCCCAGAGAAGGCCCTGGACTCTCCAACTTTCCTACACTCCAGCCCCTCCTCTGCCTCTTTCTAACCCTCCCTGAAGTCCACTTTGACACCCCACATTCCAGTCTAAAGGAGCCACGTTAGTTTTGCAGCAAGACCGCGAACAAGTTCAAGGAATTTACATCGTTAAGTGAAACCCGACTGTTAAGCCTTTTTTTTTTTTTTTTTTTTTTTTTTTTTTAGTAAACAGGAGAGGTTAAACAGAGG